TCATCTCTGCCAGTAACTCAAACTGTGCTCTATATGCTTCCCACGGTGCCTTCCCATCGTATTCCTGTGGCTTCCTTCGTACTGGATCACTCCTATTACTGACATTCATATCTGGGATGTGACTTCTAACGGGACTGAATATGTCTGCATTAGGGTTTAGCTGCGTGCTCTGTAAGGGGCTTGCCATTGTCTGGGGCTGATTAAGTCGATGTTCAATGTATTCTCCTTGTGTAACAGACAATAAATCGTTCTTTAACGTATCTAATTCGCTTTTAAATTTACTAATGTACAGTGGCATTTGTACTTCTTGCCACTGTTGTTGACTTTCCTGTAGTTGCTGCTGACTTTCCTGCAACTGTTGGAGACTTTCTTCCTGTTTCCTTTCTTGTTCCAGTTGCCACTGCTGCAATATTTCTTCTTGTTTATTTTGCTGTTCGAGCTGCCATTGTTGTAGGTTTTCTTGCCACTGCTGTAATCTTTCTTCTTGTTTCTTTTCTCGTTCTTCTTGTTTCTTTTCTTTTTCCTCTAACAACTGCTGTAATCTCTCTTCTTTTTAATTTCTCGTTCTTCTTGTTTCTTTTCGTTTCCATCTAACAACTGCTGTAATTTCTCTTCTTGTTTAATTTCTTTCTCCTCCAACAACTGCTGTAATCTCTCTTCTTGTTTCTTTTCTCGTTCTTCTTGTTTCTTTTCTTTTTCCTCCAACAACTGCTGTAATCTCTCTTCTTGTTTAATTTCTCGTTCTTCTTGTTTCTTTTCTTTTTCCTCCAACAACTGTTGTAATTTCTCTTCTTGTTTCTTTTCTCGTTCTTCTTGTTTATTTTCCTTCCCCTCCAACAACCGCTGTAATTTCTCTTCTTTTTATTTTCTTTCTCCTCCAACAACTGCTGTAATTTCTCTTCTTGTTTCTGTATTGCTGCCATCAAATCTGCTAAGCTGTAGTTTGATTTTCCGCCTCTCGTTTCCATCTTCTTCTCTCTCTCTTTTTTTTTACTATCCCACTCTCTGACACCAATTTGTTACGTCTCCGTTTGTTAATTAACTTTCCGTAACTTCGTTCCGACGAAACTTTAGCGACACAAGTCCTTACTTAATAAAACTGGTTTATCCTTTCCGAATAAAACTTTACGATACACTTAATGTCAACAATCGCGCTAAAACAAACGCTATAACAACGAACGTGCTCAATAATACTCTCTGATTGCAGATCAATTACTCACTATCTACACACACATTATTATCACATCACGTTGTCACCCTG